TATGGCTAATATCTAGCTATGGATCTGCTAAATTTGCTGAAGCTTTTTAAAAGTTGGTTTTAGTTCATTAATGATAAGACAAAGCGATCTTAGACATAATCTGTTCATAATTATTTAAAAACTATACCATGGTCAGGCTGTGTTTTTAAATTATTTTCCTAACACTCCATGAGTGAGCTAACACAAATAAAAGAGGCTGCTCACAGGCTTATCGAAAGAGGTTCTATAAATCTGTGTGGGAAATTAGTAACACAGGATATTTTCCAAATAATATAACCAAAACCAAATCCTAATCTCTGTCATTAATACCCAAAGTGATAAATAGACAGTATCTTTATTCCTCTAGAAAGATTTTTTTTCTAGAGGCAAAATGAGGAAAGCTAAAATAAAGGAAAAGGAGAAAGAAATAAAGCAAGATGTTGGAGCTTATTTGTATATACTTATAGTCAACAATCAATGAATCAACCTATTGTTTACTAAAAGCTTTGGCACATATAAAGGAAATGAGAAAAGAATTACTTCCTTTTTTAAGAAGCTTTTAGCAAAATATGACTAAAAAGCAGAAATAAATAATGGGTTATGAATAACAAAAATTTCAAAATAACATACTGTGAACTGAAGACCAGTTTTTAGGGCTTCAGAATATAATAGAAGGAAAAAAGTCATTCACTGAAGGTTTATCAAAAGAGGTTAATTTGGATTTATGGATTAGAGAAGGAGATGACCCTTTGGAAATGGGAAATTTAGAAGAGGTGCCTAGTGAGACACAAGGCAGTGATTTCAGCAGCTTTTGAGATGTTAAACTTAAAACAACAATAAGATGTTTAAGTAGAGAAATTTAATTGGAAACCAGAGAGAAGACAAAAAAGTAAGAAAGCAAATTTGGAGACAAAGTTTTTCTTTCATCATTGTAGCATATTAGTTAGTAACTATGGAAGCGGCCTGTTCTATGGGAATCTGGTTCCTTTGCGAAGGAATTTTATTGAACAACTATGTGCCAGTCACTGTGTCAGCCACTTCTAAATATATAATTTTAGTTATTTCTTATGGAAATACTACAAAGTAGTTGTTCACATTTTTACAGATGAGCAAAATGACCTCTCAGAAATTAAATTATCTGACCAAAGACATGGAAGTAGAAAGGCAGAATAACTTGGTTTGATAGATTTATCAAGAAGTTGAGTAACCTGCTTTTCTACTTACTTTATATCCCCATAATTGGTGCCTAGACTGCTAACCAGAAGGCTGGTGGTTCAAACCCACCAGCCACTCCTTGGAAGGAAGGTTGGGCAATCTACTTCCGTAGTGATATAGCCTCAGAAACCCAAGGAAGAGTCGTTATGTGTTGGATCCAACTCAATGGTAGTGTGTTGTGTTATACAGACTGTTGTCATTGTCATATATTTGTTAAAGCTCATTAATTAGAGACCACCAGGAAAAATCAACAACAAAAAAATGTACTTTGTAAATCATGGGGTTATCAAAGTTACACATTTACTAATTTAATCTGATAATATCCAGTGTTTTAATTAAAAAATAAGGGACATATTCTGCTCAGCCCACCACTAGTCTGTCAGTTTGTTATACTGTGGTGGCTGTGAGGCTGGAGGCTATTTGGTATTTCAAATACCAGCAGGGTCACCCATGGTGGACAGGTTTCAGCAGGGCTTCCAGACTAAGACAGACTCAGAAGAAGAAAGGGGCCTTCCACTTCTCAAAGAATTGGCCAGTGAAAACCTTATGAATGGCAGTGAAACACTATCTGATATATTACTGGAAAGCTTTATGAATAGCCATGAAATATTGTCCAATATAGTGCCAGAAGATGAGCCCCTCAGGTCAGAAATCAAAAAACCAAACTCACTGCCATCGAGGCAGATCTGACTCATTGCAACCCATCCTTGGTTTTTCATGGCATTATCACTATGGAAGTAGATTGCAGAATCTTCCTTCTGAGGAGTAGCTGGTGGGTTTGAACCACCAACCTTTTGATTGGTAGTGAAATTCCTCAGGCACTAAAAATATGGCTGAGGAAGAGCTGCCCCCTCAGAGTAGAGCCAACCTTAATGATGTGGATGGAGTAAAGCTTTCTGGACCTCTATTTGCTGATGTGAAACAACTCAAGATAAGAAACAGCTGTAAACATTCACTAATAATTGGAACATAGAACATATGAAGTATGAATCTAGGAAAATTGGAAGTTGTCAAAAAGGAAATGGAACACATAGATTGATATCCTTGGCATTAGTGAGCTGAAATGGACTAGTTTTGGCCATTTTGACTCAGACAACCATATGATCTACTATGCCAAGAATAAGAAACTGAAGAGGAATGACATGGCATTCATAGTCACAAAGTATGTTTTAAGATCTATCCTGAAGTACAATGCTGTCAGTGATATGATAACATCCATATACCTACAAGGAAGACCAGTTAATACTGCTGTTATTCAAATTTATGTGCCAATCACCAAAGTGAAAGATGAAGAAATTTAAGATTTTTACCAACTTCTGTGATCTGAAATTGACCAAACATGCAATCAAGATGTGTTGATTACCACCAGTGACTGGATTGTAAAAGTTGGACATGAAGAATCACTGGTAGTTGGAAAATATGGGCTTGATGATGGAAATAAAGCTGGAGATCGCACGATGAAATTTTGCAAGACAAATGACTTATTCATTGCCAATAACGTCTTTCAACAACATAAATAGTGGACATAAACATGGATGGACAGATGGAGTGCACAGGAATCAGATGAACTACATCTGTGGAAAGAGGTGATAGAGAAGTTCAATATCTGCAACCAAAACCAGGCCAGGAGCTGATTGTGGAACAGACCATCAACTGCTCATATGCAACTTCAAGCTGAAGTTGAAGACAAAAGAAGTCCATGAGAGCCAAAATATGACCTTGATTATATCCCTCCTGAATTTGAGACCATCTAAAGAAAAGATTTCATGCATTGAACACCAATGACCAAAAACTAGAGGAATTGTGGGATGGCATCAAGAACATCATACATCGAGAAAGCAAACCATCGTTAAAAAGAGAGGAAAAGAAAAAAGACCAGAATGGATGTCAGCATAGACTCTGAAACTTGCCCTTGAATGGAAAGTAGCTAAGACAAATGGAAGAATCAATAAGATAAAAGAGCTGAACAGAATATTTCAAAGAACAGCTTGAGAAGACAAAGCCAATTATTATAATGATATGTGCAAAGACCTGGAGTTAGAAAACCAAAAGGGAATAACACACTTAGCATTTCTCAGGCTGAAAGAATTCAGGAAAAAATTTAAGCCTTGAGTTGCAATACTGAAAGAATCTATGGGAAAAATATTGAATGATGCAGGAAGCATCAAAATAAGATAGAAGGAGTACACAGAGTCACTGTACCAAAAACAAATGGTCAATGTTCATCCATTTCAGGAGGTGGCATATGTTCAAGAACCAATGGTATTGAAGGAAGAAGTATAAGCTGCACTGAAGGAACTGGCAAAAAAACAAGACTCCAGGAATTGATGGAATACCCATTGAGATGTTTCAACAAAGAGATGCTGTGCTAGAGGCACTCACTCAACTATGCTAAGAGATTTGGAAGATAGCTACCGGACCAACTGACTGGAAGAGATCCATATTTGTACCCATTCCAAAGAAAGGTGATCCACAGAATGTAGAAATTATTGAACAATATCATCAATATTGCATGCATGTAAAATATTACTGAAGATAATTCAAAAATGGTTGCAGCAGTATATTGACAGAGAACTTCCAGACATTCAAGCTGCATTCAGAAGAGGACATGGAATGAGAGTTCTCGTTGCTGATGTCAGATGGATCTTGGCTCAAAGCAAAGAATACCAGGAAGATGTATACTTGTGTTTTATTGACTATGCAAAAGCATTTGATTGTGTGGATCATAACAAATTATGGATAACATTGTGAAGAATGGGAATTCCAGAATACTTAATTGTGCTCATGAGTAACCTGTACATAAACCAGGAGGCTGTCATTCACACAGAACAAGGGGATATTTCATGGTTTAAAATCAATAAGGGTGTGCATCAGGGTTGTATCCTTTCACCATACTTATTCAATCTGTATGGTGAGCAAATAATCCAAGAAGCTGGGCTGTATGAAGAAGAGCATGGCATCAGGACTGGAGAAAGACTCATTAACAACCTGTGATATGCAGAAGACACAACTTTGCTTGCTGAAAGTGAGGATGCCTTGAAGTACTTACTGATGAAGATTAAAGACTACAGTCAGCAATATGGATTACACCTCAACATAAAGAAAACAAAAATCCTCACAACTGGACCAATAAGCAGCATTATGATAAATGGAGAAAAAAAGATTGAAGTTGTGAAAGATTTCATATTACTTGGTTCCACAAACAACATCAATGGAAACTGCAGTCAAGGCATCAGATGACATATTGAACTGGGCAAATCTGCTTCAAAAGACCCTGTTTCCAGTGCTGAAGAGCAAAGATGTCTCTTTGAAAACTTATGTGTGCCTAATCCAAGCCATGGTATTTTCAATCACCACATGTGCATGTGAGAGCTGGACAATGAATAAAGAAGACCAAAGAAGAATTGATGTTTTTGAGTGTGGTCTTGGTGAAGAATACTGAAAGTACCATGGACTGCTAAAGAACTAACAAATCTGTCCTGAAAGAAGTGTAGCTGGAATGTTCCTTGGATGTGAGAATGGCCAGACTTCCT